AAAGTTAATAAATTTATTATAAATAAATAGGTTTATTATTTAATTGAATATCCGATCAATGCATCATGTATGTAAGTAAATACTTTAGAAAGGATACTAAAAAAATTGAGGAGAAGTTATATGAATTGGTATTCTGATTATAGTAGAATAACTATTAATCATTAACTATATTATTTTTTATTAGCACACTAAAGTAACATAATAACAATAACTCCTCGACTACTTGGTTATTACAAAATAATAATGCATTATAGTATATATTAACTCACACTAACAACTCTTTTTTATTTTTAATTATTATTAATTCTAACAATGTGACCTTAGACTTATGACCCAGACCCTTATATGTATTCTTTAGCCTGTTAATTACTAATTTATGAATGTAAGACTTGTTCTCCATCAAATTACTTAAGAATGGTAAAAGGCCACAAGAGAGGGTATAGGGTGACATGTTTGATTGATGAGATGTTGGTTGAGATTTTTGCTAGTAATTCATCCCTTTGAGAAGTCTTTTTCTTTATTAAGCTTTGAAATTGCAATTCAGTGAAGGTATCCTTTAATGCCAAAGCTATAACTGTTTCGTGGTCTTCAAAATCAGTATAATTTTTGTTACAACTTCATAATCAGTGATTATCATGTGATTAGACACACCAAAAGTTGAAAATGGCGGAAATATTATTATAGTATACTGGGAATAGTTAGATTCTTTCCTATGAATGTTAAAAGTAATTAATATTATGTTTAAGGGAGTCAATGATTATGATTTAACCTAAAGAGGGAAGCCAATAATTAATGATCTTACACTGTAACCGTGGAGATAAGCACGGCTCTTTCATTTTCAGGAACAAATATATAAAAAATAATATTCCTAGCTGAAATTAGAGCTATACTTAAACAAATTTATGATGGCACAAAACTTGATGCAAGAGATTAGATTGATAAACTAAGCTCTGAGAGTGGAAAAATATTAAGGGACAGCTAATATGCATCACTGAACCTAGGATTTATTATTTTAGCAGACCCCATCGATCTCAAAGTAATATAATATTAAGATCTTTAGGTTTCTGGCCATTATCAGTGTTAATGTCAATGTTAAGAAATCGCATAATTTATTTCATTCAGATGGCACTTTTTGGTTTTCCTATACAATGCCACTGCTGCCACCGTGGCTTCTAAGGTACCACTTAGTTAAGTAGTGCATCGGTACATCACTAAAATTACCGGTTATGATTTCTTTTTGGTTTTTTGGAATTCAATGTCATATCTGAAGAACCATTTTTTGTTGATGGATTAAAGTCAATTCAATGAATTGGAATTTATGAATTTGTATAGTTACATATGATCAGAGTTCCATCTAGGTTATAAAGGAGCTAAATCCCTTGTAGAGTGCAAGCCATTAAAATTTTATAGCAAATTTGTGAATTTGTAAAATTGTACACCATCTTGAATTATGTTTGTCACATTGGCTTGTCAATGTTTTGCAGAGACAATGTAGTTGAAAATGAGATCGTGCATGATGCAATTTCAAGACATTAATCAGTCATACTCATAGGTTGCTATTGCCTTTAATTTGTATCAGTGTTATGGGTGATGCTTTAATTGATTGCCTCCCTTAAATCAAGCTTGTATCATTCCAAGCATTCTTTTTAACTTGTAGAATAATTCAACTTTTAACGGCTTCGTGAAAATATCTGCAACTTGTTATTCAGTGACAATATTCAATTGCTACTTCTTTCTCAGCTACCAGTACTCGGATTTTATGAAACCGAATATCTATGTGCTTGGACCGTCCATGAAATACGCTGGATTTTTGCATAATGCAATTGCTGACTTGTTATCACAAAATATCACTGTGGGAGTATTTTGCTTCTGATGCATCACTTCAAGCATTCTTCTCAGTCATACAGCTTGGGTTGCACAACTTGCTGCTGCTATATATTCTGCTTCGGCAGTTGAAAGCGCCACCACTTGTTGCTTCTTTAATGACCATGATATTGTACCACTTCCAAGATTGAATGCATATCCTGATGTGCTTTTCCTTGTTTCTATATCTCCTGCCCAATCACTATCTATATATCCAACAAGATTCACATCAATGTCTTTATCATAGAAAATTCCTTCTGTCAGAGTACCTTTGATGTATCTGAGAATTCTTTTAGCTGCCTGCCAATGAGAATCTCGAGGCTTTTCCATGAATCTGCTGAGTAGTCCAACTCCATAAACAATATCTGGCCTGGTTGCAGTTAAATATCTGAGGCTTCCAATCAAACTTTTATAGAGAGTTGGATTAACTTTCTTGCCTCCAATGTCACTTGTTAGCTTCAACTTTCCTTCAACTGGTGTAGAAACTGGTTTTGAATTCACCATCATGAACTTCTTCAAAATATCACTTGCAAATTTCTTTTGAGAAATGAAAATTCTATCATCCTGCCTTGCTGAATGACCTCAATGCCAAGAAAGTATGACATTAGGTCCAAATCTGTCATCTCAAAACATTTAACCATAGCCTCCCTGAATTTTGCAAACATTTTTGGATTATTGCCAGTAAAAATTAGATCATCAACATAGAGGCACACAATAAGAATATTGTCAGGATCAACAGATTTGATATACAAAGTGTGTTCAAACGGGCATCTCTGAAAACCATTATCCACAAAGTAAGAATCAATCTTCTTATACCACGCCCTGGGTGCCTGCTTCAAACCATACAATGCCTTCTTCAATATGTAGACTTTATCTTCTTTTCCTTTAACTTCATATCCTGTAGGCTACTCAACATATACATCTTCTTCCAAAGTGTCATTCAGAAAAGCAGATTTAACATCCATTTGATGAATTTTCCAATTATTTTGAGCTGATAGAGAGATAAGCATACGAATTGTATCTAATCTTGCTACAGGAGCAAATACCTCAAAATAATCAATACCTGGCTTTTGTTTGTACCCTTTTGCTACCAACCTTGCTTTAAGGCGATTAATTTCTCCACTGGACTTGTACTTAGTTTTGTACACCCACTTTACTCCAATAGGCCTTTTGTCTGCTGGTAAGTCTGTCAGCTCCCATGTTTGATTCTTCTCAATGGCATGAATTTCTTCATCCATTGCTTTTCTCCAATGTTGATTATTTGAAGCTTCTTCAAAAGTTACAGGCTCACAATCTGCAAATAAGGCAAAATTGATAATTTCTTCATCAGATGGGTCATTATCATTACCCACAACATAATCCTCCAATCTGGCTGGTAATCTCCTTTGCCTTTGTGGTCTGCTTGATGTTTCTGACTCATCAGGTGTTGAATCTATATTTCCATTCTCTTCTTCATAGTTTTCTGAATTTACTACAGGCTCCTTTTGGGCTTTGAAAGACCAATCCCACATTCCTTCTTCATCAAAGGTCACATCTCTGCTGATAATTACCTTCTTTGTCACTGGATTGTAAAGCTTATACGCCTTTGAGTTGGTGATGTAACCAATGAAGATGCACTTCTCTCCTTTGTCATCAAGCTTCTTTCTGAGTTGATCTGGTACATGAGCATATGCTATACACCCAAAAATTCTGAGATGCCGGATTGAGGGCTTCCTTCCACTCCAAGCTTCTTCTGGTGTTTTATCACAAACACTCTTTGTTGGACACATGTCCAAAATATACACAGCAGTAAAAACTGCTTCTGCCCATAATTCTCTAGGCATTTGTTTTGTCTTTAACATGCATCTCACCATATCCATGATTGTTCTGTTCTTCCTGTCTGCTACTCCATTTTGTTGAGGAGTGTATCTGGTTGTCATTTGATGTTGAATTCCATGGTGGTCAAAGAAATTTGCACAGGCAAGGTATTCTTGGCCTCTATCTATCCTCAATGCTTTAATCTTGCAGCCACTTTGTTTCTTCACTAATGCCTTAAATGACTTAAAGGCATCACAAGCTTCTGATTTCTGTTTCAAAAAATACACCCAAGCTTTTCTGCTAAAGTCATCAATAAAAGTAATGAAATATCTGCTACCGCCATGTGTTGGTATCTCAACCATGCATAAATCTAAATGAACTATCTCTAATAGCTTCTTCGCCCTCCAAGATACTCCAGTTGGGAATGATTCTCTATGCTTCTTTCCAATCTCACACGTCTCACAAACACCATTAGGAATATTCACAATAGGCAAGCCAGAAACATATTCTTTTCTTGACAAATAATTTAATCCAGAGAAGTGAAAGTGTCCAAAGCGCATATGCCACAACCAATCATCATTGGGAATAATAGAACTCAAACAAGTAAACTTTTCATGACAAATCTTCAAAGGAAATAAGCGATTCGGGGTCATTTTTACCTTAGCTATAAATCTTCCACTTTTGTCTATCAACGTGCAGTATCCATGATTAATCTTCATGTTGTAACCTTTCTCTGATAGTTGTCCCATACTTAATAGATTGTGATGAAGACCAGGAGCATAGAAAACATCAGAGATAAAATTTTGAGAACCTTCTTTCAATCTAATTGCAACTCGACCTTTTCCCAAAATCGGAATGTTAGAGTTATTTATGAATTTCACAGTAGATTTTACCGTTTCATCTAGTGAGAAAAATAACTCCTTTTTCCCACACATATGGTTGTTGCAGCCAGTATCTAGGTACCAAATGGCTTCATCGCCTGAAAAATTATTTGTTGCTAGAAGTAAGGTTTGTGGATTATCAGAACCCTCACCAGTATGCTCATATTGATTTTATGCTATATTTGCTTGTTGTTTGAGTCTACAATCTGCAGCTTTATGCCCGAACTTTCCACAGTGGTAGCAATTAAAATTTGTCCTCTCCTAGTTGGTGAAGTTGCCTCTTCCTCTTCCACGGTTGGTAGATCTGACATTGTGTCCACCTCTTCCTTGATTAGATGGCCTGAAATTGTTGTCTCTCCATTGTTGATTAAAATTACAACGACCTCTTCCTCTAAAACTACCACGACCTCTACCTCTGAAATTTATATTTCCACCTTCACGACCTCTACTGTCTTCACTTCAGCTGGGTTCTGCTATGTTGGTAAAATTCACCTGGCTTTTCAATGCTTCTTCATTTCCTTTTTCAGTTTTCTCCAAGATTCTGCTCACATGACTTTCAATGCTACCTTGCAATTCTGCAACTGTCATGATGTCTGTGTCGTGGGACTCAATTATTGTAGTCACCACATGATCAAACTTCATCGGCATGGTGCGTAGAATTTTCTCCACCACCTTGCTTTCAGGAATATCTTCTCCATATACTCTCATTTTGTTGACGAGATCTGTAACTCGTGAAAAATATTGTTCCACGGATTCAGAATTCGACATTTCATATCTTTCATATTCCCTTCGCAAAGATTGCAACTTGGATTTTTGAGCTTTCTCTACACCTTTATATGACAACTTCAAAATATTCCACGCTTCTTTGGCAATTTTGGCATTTGCAATTTTGCCAAAAATGGAATAATCTACTCCTTGGTGAATTTGTGACAGCGCCATTGGTCTCTTCTTCTAGCAATATCATCAGCTCCTTCTGCTAATCCCGGTTCAACAAAGCTCCAAATGTTGTGAGCTCTTAAATGTGTGGCCATCAAAGTCTCCCAATAACTAAAATCTAATTTTCCATCTAACTTGGGACCAGACCAAATAATATTGTAACTGGTGGCCATATCTCTCTCTCAAAGATATAACAACTCTATTTTTTTTAAACAAAGTAAGAACCCTCTTGTTTCTCACTCAAATATATTTTTTTTTTCACTCACACTATCACCGAACTCTCTGGCTCTGATACCAATTTGTTACCACATAAACATAATAACAAACCAATATATAGTAAATAAAAGAAGAAAGGAAGAGACACTCTCACTATTATTTCATTTTCTCACACATAATAATAATACGTACAGCATATGGCCTTTTATAGGCAAATGATACAGTAAACAAAATAATAAAATATTATATTTAGGAAACTTAACGTATGCAAATTGGCACCACAATTACTAATGTCAAACATTGCTACTCAATTTCAATTTGGATTTGTTACTGTGTGGCAGTAATTCAAAAATTAAACTGTGCAGCCATTGTGGAATTTCCAATTCCAAGTCAAACATTACGGCTTGATTTAATTTTCTGACAGATTTGATAATGCCCATTCAGAAACTTTTGTAAAATTATTTATACTTCAAAGTTTCAACCATTTTGTTTTGATTTGACTCTCAGGCCTGCTTTGATATCCAATCTTCTATGGCATTTACCAATATTCCTCAAACCAACACCTTATTGTGCGCCTATAATAATCATTCCATGCATTTGCTGAATGCTTTTGATTTTCATTACTGGCATAGTCACATTCAACCTTATAGCATGCCAAGAAACATAAGGCATGAACATTTTAATTTTTACGGTTTACAATGCAAGAATGTATTAATAGAGAGAGTAAATATGCTGATTAATGTTTCAAGTTTACTTGAAGTTAAAGCAAATACAGTTAATCAAACTATAGAACTGTTTTTTAAATTATTGGTACTTCATGCACCTTGTTGTCTGTTCTTAATTCAAATAGCTACTTAAGATTTCTTTTAATGTTAAAAATCAAAAGGAAGTCCAAAGTGTTCATGCAAAAGAGTATATATATATATATATATATATATATATACATACATAAATATAAAAATTAAAGTTAAGTTTTGATGGAAGCTTCCAGTGGAAGAGATTGAGGTTCTTCAACTAGCTCCATCTTCATTGTCCAATATTCTCTTGAGGTTCAACTTATTCACAGAAGCAA